CAACCAAACACAACTGTAAAATGGACTATTGCAACAAAATATACACCCTGTTTTCTCTATTTACAGAATGGTTTCAACAAAAAGAATTTGAACTTTTGAAGATGAGTTTGTTCAAATGCCTTCCCCCTTGGGGCAAAACTTATCTTCAAATTCATCATCCAAGTTTTTTGTTGAAGGAAAAATCAGATATTTAGCTCATGGGGTCAATGCTTTAATGTAGTAATTATGGTGTCTCATTTTCTACAGGAGTAGTGTTCATTAATCCTTGTATTGATGTGTGGACAAGGGTGGACACAAGAGCTCGGGCATTCAGTGTTCCACCCCAACAGGTATTTCCTTTATTAATTAATTAATTAATTTATTTATTTGTGAGATCTAGACAGGCTGGCCCAGTTCAGCTTTAAAGCTGGTGTAACTCTCTAACTCCCGGAAGTAACTAACACGAAACTTCTCCCCATAATATCCATACATTCTCCTGCAAACAGGTAATGAGATTACTCAAGCTTACAAGGTTTAAGTTATTATTCCAATCTAACACCAAATTCTCATAACTAACTTATAAGAAAATGTGTAGCAACTAGAGGAGAGAATCAACAATCAGATCTTTGGAGTTAAATGGGTGCCTGTAAAAACTATAATAAGGCCAGACCTCAACAAAGAGAGCTTAGTTTCCCTTCTCTTTGCAAGAAGTTTGTGGGTTTCTTGCAAACAAGTACAGCGGAGGTGCAGGAGACAGGGCTAATGGTAAATATCAACCTCATCCAAGAAGTCTAGAATGTCTAACCATTTGCAAATTTCATAGCCAAGGTACAACACTCTCCTCCATTATTTCATCCTTGAACTCCCTAAGAGTGACCAGCATCTAATTTCTCCTTGTCAGCTCCTTAAGAAATGTATAGAGAACAGTGTGGAGAATATACCTACTGATATTAGGGAGTAAAGGGTTTAAGACCCTGAGTGATGGTCCAGTCTGGAGCTTGAACACTTGACCTCCATTAAGGTGCTTGGTGCTTTACAACACATGCAAACCAAATGCAGTATTGTGAAACTTACTCCTGCATCAAGCATCAATATTCAGGGTTGTCTAAAAGATTTGTGTTCCAAATTAGGCAGCACAGTGTCATGCTTTTATGCTAAAAATTGAGCCATTGGCATTTGCTAGATTGTTTTGACGAAACTGATGTATTTTTTTTCCCTCAAGATTCACACTAGTGATGGTGGCTATGCATCGGTTGGAGCTGATGTACAGTTCAGCATCAAGGACGTAGTTTTATCCAGAACATCTGTTCAGGATTTAAACCACTCTTTGCGTATGCTGGCTCAAACAGCACTTGTAAACTGTTTGGGTTCAAGGAAGCTTATTGAAGTTCAGCATGATAGAAAGTTCATCAACAAACAAGTCCAGGTAACACCATCATGAAGTATTTAATTATCTGTGTAGTATAAACTATTTTGTCATGGTTACACTCGTGTTTTAGGATGCCTGGTCTGTAATTTTAGATTGTTGGTATACCTGTGTAAGATAAGGGGTATGTCATTTGTTAGAGGGGGGGATGTACCACTCTTCCACAGGTGACCTGGCCCTCCCCAAAGCACTGCCCATATTTTTGGTTGCATAAAATCCAGAGGGAGAGTTCAGGAGCTCTAACTCTCCCTCCCCACCCTGCTGAGACCAGTCATCCTCCCTCCCTCCCCTCCTTGCTCATACCTGTGGGAATTTTACATACTTTACCTACTTTTTACACACCAAAATTCTTACAATAACAGGATCATGTTTTAACATTCAGCTGCCTGGCTAGATTCTGTGTGTTTGTTTGAATGTGTAACTGTAAGTAATACAGG